CTGTAAGTAAGGAGCAGAAAAAAGGCGAAAGAAAATAGAGTACAAAGTAAAATGGAATTTACTCTGAATCCAGGTCAGTCAGGTTACTTAATTCAAAATGCTTTGTACTCTATTTTCTTGAGCCTTTGTTTTGCAGTTTGATTACATATTCCCCCTTTTGATGTAACCACTACTAGGACACTGATCACATTCATCCACAGAGAAGTAACCACTTTTCTGCAAGGTCTTTAGTTAACCATAGATAAACCCACTGCCATGGAACCAATTCTGACTCATAGCGACTCTATATAGGGTTTCCGAGTATGCAAACCTTTATGGGAGCTGACAACCTCATCTTTCTCCTGAAGAGGGTGGGTGGATTTGAAAAGCCAATCTTGCAGTTATAGCCTAATGCTTATCCCACAGCATTACCAGGGCTCCTTACTGCACCACTTACAGAATGGTAAGACAGAAAGGTGGTGACAGCCCTTGGACTTTCTCTGCAAATTCTGAGTGCATCTGAATCACCAGGAGATTTTACTAGAACACAGATGGCTGGCCCCTGCTCCAGAGAATCGGATTCAAGCAATCTTGGGTGGAGTCTGAAATACTAACAAATTATCAGTAGATAGATGCTGTGGGTTTGGGGACCACACTTTGAGAACCATTGCTATAGAACAGGGATGGGTAAATTTTCTTATAAACACACTTTTTTGTTAGTGCAAATTTAGATGTTGGCCCTTCAATTCTGTAGTTGTAGAATGAAATCAACCTTAGACAATTCATAAGCAAATGAATGTGGCAGTGTTCCTGTATGATGTTGTTTATGGACAGTGAAATTTTAATTTCCCCATTAGAAAGGACAAGTAGACCAGCCCGGAGCAGCTAGAACAACAGAAGATATATCTTCAAAGAAAGATCATCAGGAAAAATCCAAACCAAAAATGGCAGTATGATTGGCTACTACAAGAAAAAAAAAAGTTGTTTGCTGGGGAGCCATCAAGGCAAGCTATCAAGCCCCTTCAGGACAAACTCCCCTCCATGACTGAAACTCAAAGGGAACACATGAGCAGGCATGTAAGCTTGCTAGTGACCACATTGGCCTACTGGTGAGTGGAAGAGGAGGAAAGACAGCAATGAAGAAATGGACTGAGTTCAACCACATTCCATAGACTCCTGTTGACCTGGAGATGAGAAAGAGAAGAGGAAGGACTGGTTGGTCTGATGTGTGGTGAGACCTGGAGACTCCTGAGCCCATGGACAAGGACATTGCCACAGAGGACTAGAGCTGAGAGTGAAATGTCCAGCTGATATAAAGTGAGGGGGAGATGCACAAGAATACCCAAACTTGCAGATAGTACCCATTGGATCTACCCTTGATGGCTTGATAATCATAACTCGACTAGAAGAAGATTTAAAAAAAAATTTTTTTTTGATAAACGAGTATACATTGCTATAATTTGATGAACTTGACCTATACTTAAGGATGTAGTGGCTCAAAATACCAACTGAGTGGGAAGGAGTCTTCACATCAAATATCAATCCTATCCCCTCTGTATACAGGGTAGATAGGGATGGACAACTTATACATTGGCTACCTAAAATGAGGGGGTGATAAAGGCATGAAGTGATGGGCTTACAAGTTTTCAAGAGTTTAGTTTAGTTAAGAGAGTGCAGGGGAAGGTAGAGTCCCCACTGAATAGTTTTCATCTTGTCTAGACGGGTCTGGTGAAAAGAGATGGGGATAAGATTCTTATGATTCAATAGTGAGTAATTGTTATCATGACTAATTGTGATGGTCACAACTATAAAGACAGAAGTTTTGTTAAACAAACAAACAAATGGGGGAGTAGTTAATCTTACATTCCAGGAACAGAGGACTCTAGGACCATCAAGGGAGAAGAGCATGAGCGGAATGTGGGACCCTATGCAGAAAAGCAGCTACACCAGACATGGAGGCAGAGATGAGGACATGGTAGAGCAGCTAAGGACTCTGGATTCATGGAAAGAGAGGGACTGGGTGCTGGCAGCTAGAAGCCAGGTTTGCAGAATGTGCCCTTTGGTTGTTTAAATTGTTATATACTCCTGAGTGTTCCTGTGTACATCCTGTCTCAAACAAAACAAGAGGGAATGGAAGCAAATACCTCTGAATGATGAAACACAGAGGAGATTTAATCATTGCAATGAAACAATGGTGTAAAGCCGATGTTCTCTCATGTAAACTATCACTCAGTTCACAATTAAAATTTTTTTAAAATTTCATATTATATTGTGTGTTATGAATATTATTTAGTCATTTAAAAATGTAAAAATCACTAGTACCTCATAGGGTCATACAAACCTACACAAAGAGCAGATTTGGCCCAGAAGTTCCCTATCAAAGACAGGAAGTACTTCCACTATGGAGTCCTGGTGTGGCACTGTGGGTTAATGCACTGGACTGCAAAGTCAGTTTGAACCGTAAGTTCAGCGTTTCAAGCTCACCAGACACTCCTTGGAAACCCTCTAACCTGACGGTACTTAACAGCAACAACTTCCACTATTTCCACTAAAGACACTACTAGGTACTTACCATTTTGTCAGTCTCAGATATTAGCCAATGCAACTAAAGAGACAGCAATGAGAGGACTAGGAACACAAAAGAAAGATATTAAACTATCTCTATTTGCAGAAGACATGGTTGCATATTTAACAAATCCAAGAGAATCAATGGAAACACTCTAAAATCAAAACGAGAACTCAGTGAATTTTTAGGGTAAAAATTAGCACACAGCAATCATTAGTTTTATGTATACAAGCACTATCCAGTTAGGAAACACAATGGAAGAGAAGACTTCATTACAGTAACAACAAAAGGTAAAACGGCAGAAAATAAGTTGTTTGAAACATGCAAAATCTATATTGTGGTGGTGGTTGTGTGCCATGGAATCAGTTCCGACTCATAGCAACCCTGTACAGGGTTTCCGAGGCTGTAAATCTTTACAGGAGCAGAACACCTCATCTTTCTCCCACAGAACAGCTAGCAGTTTCAAACTGCTGACCTTGCAGTTCGCAGCCCAATTCGTAATCACTATGCTACCAGAGCTCCTTATATAAAAGTTATTATTGCTCAATAGAACTATATAAAATTATACTCAATCAAATGGGAGCATATTCTTCATTAAGAAGCTTCAGTATCATAAAAAATGTTTATTTTTCCTACTTTAATTATATCATTTTAATGTAATCCCAATACAAACTCTAATAGACTGATTCTCCCCACCTCTGGACCTAGGTAAGTTCATTAAGGAGCCCTGGTGGCACAGTGGGTTACATGTTGGACTGCTAACACAAGGTCAGCAGTTTGAATCCTAGGAAGAAAGATGAGGTTTTCTCTTTGATAAAAGATGGTGCTTTGTGGTATGTCTTCTAGTTGGTTCCAACTTACAATAACCCTGTATAGGGTTTCTGATGCTGTAAGCCTTTACGGGAGCAGAAAACCTCATCTTTCTCCTAAGGAGCAGCTGGTAGATTCTAACTGCTGACCTTGCAGTTAGCAATCCAACTGGAAACCCGCTACTCTACCAGAACTCTTTCTGATAAAGATATACAGTCTCAGAAACCCTATACAGGGTAAAATTTTTCTGAAGATCATTAAAAACTGGTTGCATTGACAAAGAATTGCCAGAAATTCAAGCCAGGTTCAAAAAAAGATGCAGAACTAGGAACATCATTGCGGATGTCAGATGTATCAAAGCCAATGTAGAGAATACAATATATTTATTGAGTATGCAAAGGCTTTTGACTTTGTAGATCATGACACACTATGGATAACATTGCAAAGAATGGGTATTCCAGAACAATTACTCATGCTCATGACGATCCTGTACACAGACCAAGAGGCAGTTGTTAGAACAGAACCAGAGGAGAACGAATGCTTTAAAATCAGGAAAATATGTGTCAGGTTTGTATCCCTTCACCATATCTACACAGTCTGTATGCTGGACTACATGAGGAAAAAAATGGGATCAGGGTTGGAGTTAAACTCATTAATAACTTGCAATAAGCAGATAATACAACTTTGCTGTCTGAAAGGGAAGAGGATTTAAAATACTGATGAAGATCAGAAACTATGGTCTTCCGTATGGCTTGCACCTCCAAGTAAAGAAAGCAAAAGTCCTCAGTAAATAATATCATGATAAATAGAGACTAAGTTTGTGAACAATTTCATTTTGCTTGGATCTACAGTTAACACTCATGGAAGCAACAGTCAAGAAATCAAAGGACCTACTGCATTAGGCAAGTCTGCTGCATGAGATTTCTTTAAAGTGTGAAAGGGCAAATCTGTCAGTTTGGGGACTAAGGTTCGCCTGACTCAACCTATGGCATTTTTCAATCGTCTCATACGCATGCGAAAGTTGAGCTATAAATAAAGATGATAGAAAATTGATGTGTTTGAGTTATGGTGTTAGAAAATAGTATTACAAGTACCATGGATTTGCACAAGAACAAACAAATCTATGTTGGAAGAAGTACGTCAGAAAGCTCTTTGGAACCGAGGATGGCAAGTCTTGTCTCTCATACTTTGGACATGTTATTTGAAGGAACCAGTCCTGGAGGTTTGGTAAAGTGGAGGGTTACTGAAAAACAGGAAGGTACCTAAAGTGATGACTGACACAGTGACAGCAGCAATGGGATCAAGCGTAACAACGATTGTGAGGATGGCACAGGTCCCGCTAGTGCTTCATATGTTGTGCATAGGGTCCTTATGAATCGGGTCGACTCGTTGGCACACAACTAACAACAATGATGTATTGACATGTCACAAACGTTTGTAACCAAAACAGGGGGTTAAATCTAGTAATAGTCCCAACCCTCCTAGCTTGCAGCACCCTTATCTGCATAAGGGAGTTGCTTAAGAGATTACTTAAAAGGTGTTGTGTTGATTTACAAATGGAGTTCAAATATTCTGTCTGTTTGCTGTGATCGGCTACCCGTGGTTTTCTGAGCATGCGCTCTTAGACTTGCTCGCGTGTTCGCGCATGCGCGTTATTGCAATGCTGCTCTCGCTTCTGGTCCTTCTGCTGGTCTACGCTCTCCCTGGTTCCCAGACTGTGGCCTCCGGTGGGCGATAATCCCGTCCCTTGCGGGTGGCGGCGCCGTCGGTGGGGGTGGCTGTCAGGCGAGTGCGGGTCTGTGCGGGCAAGGGTGCACGCTGGCCAGGGGAACCCGCGAGCGCGAGCCCCGGAGCCCGTGGTGCTGTGCTCTGAGGGCCGAGCTGGGCGGTGGTGGCCGCGGCGAAGGCTCTCTCACTCGGCAGCAGTGGGCACCCCTTTGGACTGGGACGGTCGCGCAGGTTCCTCGGACGCTCTGGGACCCGCCCGTCTGCATCGCCAACGACCCGGGGTCGGTCAGTTCCTGGGGAGGCCGCTCCAGTCTCACTAGGAACGTCCCGGCTGAAGTGAACTTGTCCCATAGACTCCTACCCAGCTCCTCAAGAACAGGACGCCCCCCTTGGCAAGGAGACTGAGGAGCAGAGGCCGCGGGGGAGAGCTCCGCCCCAAACCCGGACGGCTCACCCAAGCCGAGGGGCAGAGAACGAGCAGCCCCCGAAAGGGGTAGGTCGTGTATCTGCGGACCCCTCCCCACGCGAGGGCATTGTTGTTAAGTGCCCTTAAGAGTCGGTTCCGACCCATAGCGACCCTGTATAGGGTTTCCAAGGAGCAGCTGGTGATCTTGAACCGCCAACCTTGCAGTTCAAACGGCTTTGCAGCCTGACACATTAACTCTACTGTATGTGATAGTCGTGATAGTCAGGGGTGGGAATGAGGGGGTGCTGCCTGTTTCCAGAAGTGGTGGGTTTGAGGG